TACCAAAAAAATGCTCAAGTATGTCTTGGTTCACTCGCCGCGTCAATGTATACTTGAAGTCGTACTTGGCTTGCGTATATTCATACAACATTGGCAGCGCTCTACTCGTGATCAACACACCCTTCTGGAACTGCTGCAAACTTGTTTTCCCAGGTATTACCACTTCTGACATATAATTATCCATCTGTAGCAGAATATCTTTCTGCTGATTAAGTTTGAGGCCGAATGGCTCCTTTAAAAGATAATAGCCTTAATTGTTTACCAACATACTAGTAATAAACTTTACTTTTCCTGGGTAATTGTACGTTTTCATGGATGAGTTCAAGACATCATACCAGTCGTTTACTAACTGCATCAAATCTGCAGTCTCAACTGGATTAGTTACATCCAGACCGAGCGAATAACAGCGTCGTATAGCGTTTGGGGTTGTGCTGGAAAGCAACTGTGTTGCTAACTTCACTTTTGTCTGCCTAATAAACGTTAAGAAGAAACCTACATACATAGCTTTCCAACACAAAATTATTTAATATACCTATGCCTTTCACTGATAAGTGTTCCTCGCTTAGTTTAAATGTAATGGGCATATCAGTCGCGGAGGTATGCTTCATTACATCTACTATCGCACGAGTATTTATAATTTTCCCCTTCAGACCAGAATCAATAAAATGATTCCTGATAAGTTTCACCAAATGCGGAGCGTCAGCAAATGCGAAAATCTTATCATCGGGGCTGGCCGGGTTAGGAAACCATGGTCATTCTAACAAAATTAGGTGGTACCAGAAAAATGTATGTTTTAAAAATGTACTTTTTACGTATTGTAACCCCCAGATTTTTCCACAACTTCTGGTTCGATGTGCCCATGTCACAAACGATTGCCACGACAGGAAAACCAGCGTTCTGAACTGACACGATGATGTTCCTTAGAAGCTCGACGTCGACCTTGCAGTCGAAGTCATAGAAAACGGGCTGTTTCCATCTTCTGTACAATCCACGCGCCATTACCACTTGCACATAATTTGCTGGTTTTCTCACGAAGTCCCCTGTGGGTTCATATTCAAACGCTTCAGTCACCTTCATTTCGTCGAACGCTAGTATGCACACTTTCTCCTGGAGGGAGTAATCATTAATGTGACGCATCAAGTCTAACGAAACTGTAAGTATGCCCTCATTTACGTTAATCCTTCGACACCACCTTTCTAAGGTAGTTACGTGAGGAAGTGGAAACCCATTGTCATACAAATGCCTATATGCTCTGGGACCGGCAGCGTGAAGGCATATAGCTTTTGATATTGTTTAGGTCCGCGACCTAAATATATTGCACCACCCTAATCCGCGTTTTGTCACTTGATGTAAGAGCACACAAACACATACACAAGTTACGGCTATCTTTCCAGCCGCTAACAACAAGCCCCACTGTACGGTAACTTATTGGAGGGGAAACTTAACGAAAGTTACTGTGCGGTGGGCTACATCCCTTTTCGTTTGTTGGCACTTTTTCACTTCTTAGAAGACAGCAAGGAGATCACGTCAGCCATCACACCACGTTCGGTAAGCCAACTCTTGTGTGCCACACTATTCAACCTCATAGATATTTACAAATAAAACGATTTTTAATTTCATTGCATTAAAACCACTGTGTCTTTTATTTGCTCCTATTTTCGTTACATTAACTTTACGCTGGTGCGCTCCATCTTCGTGCGACGCCACCTGCGTAAATATTGGTCTTCGAGCCTAAAAAGTAACCACATTATACAGTCCACACAGCATCTCATCTGAGTTTTTTCAACTGCCTCAACCGATCGTCACCAGCATCACGTTCGTCCACATAGCATCACAGCAACTGCCACAACCAACGTGCCACAAGAGCCACAGCAAGCGTTTTTTTCTTTGGTTTGCTACACAAGCAACGTTTTGGTTTGCATCACAGCATCACGCTTGCATCACAGCACCACTAGTGTCAGCAACACATTTTTTAAAGCAGCATATCGCACTACACGGCATACAACAACATATTAAGGTACGTGGTTTAATTTCATTGCACTTGTGTGTGTACAAATCGTCAAAAAAAATAAATAAAAAACTGTGGTGATATACATATTTTGGAAAAAAAAAGACGCGCGTGATTATTGTGTAAAGCAAAAAAGGGGAGAAAACACTCACTGCTTATTATTTTGTTTAAATAAAAATTAGAACACTTTTCACGTTTTAGTGGGGTACCGGCTAACATTAACGAATTGCGCGAACGTCCATTTTGATTCGTGATACGGTGTTGTTTGTGTAAAAATACCAGTCGCATTTACCGAAGCACAAGATTGATAAAATTTATTCCTTTCTTGCAAAGCACAGAATTTAGTTTTTTCTCATTTTACTGGCTTTCACTTTTATTTGCATTTTATTAATCGCGTAACTTCAAGTAGATTTTGCGAAACTCCTTTGGTTTCTTTTCACATTACACTTGTCTATTATTAGTGGCGCGCTTATACATATTGCTGATCACTTCACTGGGTTGTTTCCCCCATTTATTTGTTGGTTGCATAAAATCACAGCCGCGCTTAAACAAACAAAATTTCTTCATAAGAAATTTTTAAAATAAACTGCATATTTTGAATATCAATTATTTACACACGTATATCACATATTTGATAAGTTGGGTGGCGAGTGACTTGCACATTTTTGCATATACGCACATACACATACGTAATTACGTATTCGACAGTCTTACTTGGCTGGAAAATAAATAAATCGTTATTTAAATACACAAGTTATCCTTTGTTGTTCTTATAAGAATTAGACTTATTTCGTGCTAAGCGTTTTTAGTGGCAATCTTTTTCTACGAAGCGGCGATTCACACAAAGAAATCTTTTGTCTTGCGTCCACTTCAGTTGCCTTTGGTCAAAAATGGACACCTTTATTCTTCAGGCAGATTCAGTAACAGAATTCGAATCTGACTACAACTCTATGCAGCCATCAGAGCACACAAAGCACTCCTTAACTTTCCAAAAGGATAAATTAAAGGCTCTGTGGGAAAAGGTAAAAGGGTCTTATGATGAACTTTGCGCATCAAAAGAGCTCGAAACCAAAGACCTGACAGCAATTAAAAAGAAGTATAAAAGCACCTACTTCAGTTTTTTGCGGTGCCAAGCAGCAATGGCTGATCTTTCAGAGCAACTCGCAAAGACTGAAAAGGAAAGCGAATACAAGTCAGGTCGCGAGCTTAATATTCATCTCCCTCCTTTCGTGGCCATCGTTTAGAGGTATGTTTACGGCTATATACATTCTAAATAAGCGCCTTACCCCAGTTGAGAAGCTGTATCACCTCCGGCAAAAAACTCAGGGGGAGGCCAAGGAAATAGTGCAGAGATCCCCATTAACCAACGATGGCTTTGGTGCGGCCTGGAAAAATCTTTGTGACAGATACGAAAATAAACGTATCCTGGTCAATGCCCAATTAATGGTATTATTTAATTTAAACGCAGTTGAGAGTGAATGCGGTAGCTCCATCAAGAAACTGCAACGCGACATAAATAATTGCATCTCGTCGCTTCAGTGTCATCAGATTGATGTTTCAAATTGGGATGCAATATTCACATATTTGTGTTCGACAAAACTGCCAGAAACGACACTGGCACTATGGGATCAAACCATAGAAAATAAAACTGAGATTTCCAAATGGGTAGATATGGATAAATTCCTATCCAATCGGATTCAAACACTGGAAACCGTGACAGGTCTTAGGGGAGATATAGTTTCGAAACCTAAACCACCAAGCTCTCGGAATTCTGCAGAGACGCCTGCAAAAAAGCTTGGCGCCTTTCAAGCCAGTGTAGCAAAGGCAACATGTAAAATGTGCAACAGCAATGTACACAAGCTATCAAAGTGCGACAGATTTTTGCGTCTAAAGCCGACGGAGCGAGTAGATTACGTGAAGAGCATTCGCAGTTGCTTGAATTGTTTATCTGCTGGGCACACAGTCTCAAGATGTACCAGCTCATTTAACTGCAGCACTTGTCATTCGAGACATCACAAGTTGCTCCATATGCCAATTCAGCCAAAAGCGACAACTGATCCATCGGGTAGCGTGGAATCTACTCCAAACCAGGCTCAATCAAGACGCGAATCTGAAAAAGGAAACATCAAATCGGTTACAAATGTAAATTCTTGTTACGCAAATACAAGTAAAGGAGTTTTGTTAGGAACAGCACGCGTAAACATACACTATAATGGTATACATTTTTCGGCTAGAGCGCTTATAGATTCTGGTTCTGAGTGCTCGTTCACTCAAACGGAGAATCAACCTGCCATCAAAACGCTTGCATGCCCAAGTTTCGGGCATCAATAACTCTGTATCTGCGCAGGTAAAAGAAGCGTGTGCTATTCAACTTCGGTCACCCACAGACCCGTTAATTAATATAGAAGCAATTGTGCTGGTTTTACCACAATTAACCGGGGATCTTCCGACTTGTCAGATAAGCGCAATGACGCGGCAATCGTTCCCAGACTTGGTCTTGGCGGACAAAAGATTCTTCGTCAATGAGCCAGTTGACCTGGTCTTAGGAGGAGATATTTACCCGCAAATAATTTTAAGCGGAATGAGGAAGAACGTATTAAATACGCTTCTCGCGCAAGAGACCGTGTTCGGTTGGTATTTTAACGAAGTCACGTTGGACAAGCAGCTAGCTGCATTTTGGGAGCTGGAGGATGTCCCAAAGAAAAAAGGCATCAACGAAGATGATAAATACTGCGAAGAGCTCTTTAAAGCAACTACAACACGAAATACCGATGGAAAATACATTGTGTCTCTACCTTTTAAACGGGATTTTCCGAAAAATGTGTGCTTACGACCTTCGCTGAAAAGTGTATGCTCTCAGTTCTACCGGAACGAGACGCGACTAGCGAAAAAGCCTGTCCTTCAAACAGAGTACAACCGGGTTGTATCTGAATACGAGACACTAGCACATATGTCAAAAATTAACAAAAACATTTCACCAGATTCAACGGACTGCTATTTTTTACCGCACCACGCCGTTTTAAAGGAAGAAAGTACCACTACAAAGGTCAGGGTTGTATTCAACGCATCATGCCCAACCGCTAATGGCATGAGTTTGAATGATGTCCTCCTTCCAGGTCCTGTACTTCAGGCCGATTTAACGATCCTCATACTCCGTTGGAGACTGTTCCAATACGTCTTCAACAGCGATATAGAGAAAATGTATCGGCAAATATTCGTAAATGAGAATCAAACGAAATATCAGCGCATAGTTTTTCGCACCTGCCCAAGAGAACCAATTAGCTTATACGAATTAAAAACGGTGACTTTTGGCATCAACTGTGCTCCTTATCTCGCGATAAGGACATTGCATGAACTAGCTGATGAGGTCGAGAGCTCGTTTCCAATCGTATCCGAAATTTTGCGAAAGTGTATGTACGTGGACGACGTACTTGCTGGAGGACACAGCATCGAAGCAGCGATTAAAGCTCGAGAAGGAATACTACAGGTACTGGATTCAGCAGGGTTCTCGTTAAGAAAGTGGACTTCGAACTCCAGTAAAATACTTGAAGGTATACCGAAATCTCATTTACTCACCGACGATTTTCTAGAGTTTGAAGAGTCTAGTACGGTAAAAGCACTTGGCATCAGATGGAATGCCAAATCTGACTACTTCTATTTCACAGCAAAACCAATAGAAAATCTTGACGTCATCACTAAAAGAGCGATACTTTCAGCTATCGCCAAACTGTTTGACCCGCTTGGTTGCCTCGCTCCAGTGGTAATTGTCGCCAAGATCATTATGCAAAATATTTGGTTGGAGGGAACTGGTTGGGACGATATCGTGTCTCCGACCACATTAGACCGTTGGCAGGCATTTATGCACGACTACATGGACATTAATACCATTCGCATACCAAGATGGGTTCACTTTACGCAAACAGATGACGCCGAAATACATGGATTCAGCGACGCTTCGGAGAAAGCATACGCGGCGACTGTTTTCTTGAGAATTAAGACTGCGGAAAAAGTTGTGGTCAGCCTTCTAATGGCAAAAACAAAGGTAGCGCCCGTCAAAACAGTATCGTTACCCCGTTTAGAACTTTGCGGCGCAGTTTTGCTTTCGGAAACCGTAGAAGCGGTCGTCGAAAATCTGAGTCTTGGACATTTGAAAATAAATCTCTGGACAGATTCGACAATAGTCCTCGCATGGATCCGGAAACCACCGTGTTCGTGGTCAACTTTCGTTGCTCACCGAATAACAAAAATTGTAGACAAGGTGGGAACCGAAAACTGGCGTCATGTGGATTCGGCATCAAACCCAGCAGATCTGGCGAGTAGAGGACTTTCGGCGAGTGATCTAGTCAACAACTCCTTGTGGTGGCAGGGTCCTTCTTGGTTACAAGAAGACTATTCGAGATGGCCAGCACAAGAATCGGACTTTGACACAACCATTGAAGAAAAAAGGGTGCATGTTCATGCAACAACAAAAGTAAAAGACTTTCACGACATTCTCGATCGATTTTCTGATTTATCACGGGCTTTGAGAGTTATATCGTATATTATGAGATTCTATCAAAGAATCAATCCCAAAACGAAATATTCCTTTAAAGCGGAGTCTCGTTCAATTTCGGCCAACGAAATTAAAACAACGACCCAACGCTTAATAACGATTTGTCAAAAACAATATTACAGCGAAGAATATACAAGGTTAAAATCTGGAAAATCCATCGACGGAAAAAGTGAAATCCTGCCTCTTAACCCGTTTATCGACAAAGATGAGATTCTGAGGGCTGATGGTCGTCTGAGCGCATCTAGCGATCTGTCCTACAATGAACGTCATCCTATCATTCTTCCGTATGGTTGTAGGATGTCCCGTCTCTTGGTCCAGTTTATCCATAAAATTTCCGTGCACGGAGAAAACCAGCTGATGCTGCGACTTATCCGATCGCAGTATTGGATTCCCAGAGTGAAAAACTTGATACGGTCCGTCATACATAACTGCAAGGTCTGCACGATCCACAAGAAACGGTCGCAAACTCAACTTATGGGAATCCTTCCCAAAGAACGCACAACCTTTTCCCGTGCATTCACAAACACGGGGGTGGATTTCGCGGGCCCGTTCGACATCAAGTCCTACCGGGGCAGAGGATGTCGCATGTCAAAAGGCTATGTCTGTCTCTTCGTCTGTTTCTCGACGAAAGCCATTCACCTTGAAGCTACCAGCGACCTTAGCACC